TGCAAAGTGTTCATATAGATCTCTATAATGACGTTTTTGGCCACTGTGCTAACTGTGGAAATCCAACTGAAGCCCTGATGGAAAACAGGCAACAATTCGCAGATGAATCTTCAGAAAAATGCAGAATTTCACCTGGAATTTCCAAGTTGGAATGTCCATTACCCAGTCTTTCAAATCCTAGTATGTGCTTCTTGGTTCATTTTGAGTTGACAGCATTTTGGCTCCACCCTGATCTTCTTGTGTTCTTTGAACACACCTTACAAGGATGGTTGGCACTAGAGACCCTCGTCCTTGAAGACAATGCACTTGGCTTTTTGTCATCACCTGGCAGGGAGTTCATAAATACCCTCTCCTTTCTGTGCACTAAAGGAAGGCTACAGTTCCTTCAAATCACCAATAATCCTGTAAATGATGAATTTGCAAGACTCCTCTTTGAGAAACTAGTAGCTGCATTCCGCCGCAAATGCAAGAATAGAGGCAACAATGCTAGATCTTTAACAAAACTTAAATTTTCTTCCCACCAAGTTTCACCAGCTGCCGCAGTCTATTTGGGGAGAGCAATAAGAGATGTTTGTGTGTGTAAATTAAGTAGTACCCAGTCTGCTGCAAGGATTTTGGAGTCTGTGTCTTCAAAGAGTGATTCCAGTACAGAAAATAAGGATATTACTGCATGTTCATGCATGCAACCAGGTTGCAGTGAGCAGAAATATTTGTGTATAGGTGGTTGTGTGAGTTGTGATCAAACAAGTGCATGTGATAACGTCCAAGAACCTCAAGTAAGAACCGAGGGAAATGCTACACTGGAGTTGCATATCATTGGTAATAAAAAGATGTGTGGTGAATCAAGTGAAGATTCTTCCCAGGACAAGAAGCCTTTGCCAATTACTGTTCGCAGTTCTAATACATTTGCTGCTATCCAAGTGCTGAAGTTAAGATGTGTGGTTGGAGAGCGAGGCGCTAGGTTAATTGCAGATGGGCTCCAAAGAAACAGCACCCTGTATTCCTTGAGTTTGGCAAACTGTGACATCAACTCTGCTGGGCTAGCAAGCATTTTTCAGGCATTGTCAGGTGAGAAATGCAGTTTGTCTGGAGTAGAGTTTCAGCTACAGGAAACGATCAACTGAAGGCCATTTAAAAGAAAATGCTGATTGATAAGCCATGAAATTTTACAGTGACCAAACATTATGTAGTTCTAAGCCTGTACTCTACACACAGATATTTATAGGACAAGATACAAACATGTAGTAATAGTATGGTTGTAGGTAACTGTTATTTGCACCAAATACATCATGTCATACAAGGGCTTTTTTTGTTTATCTTTATTTTTCTTCAGTTGATCAATTTACCTCCTCTTTTAAAGGTCTATGTCATGCATGCAACCTCTGGATCTCTGTAAAACATGTTGAATGTTGTACAGAGATCAATTTACTTTTGTTTTTGTCTTGTTTTTGAATTTTTGCGTGCACAGTAACTTAAACAGTTAATGAGTTTCAAACACTAAAATTAATGGATCTTATTAGAGCTACCTAACTGGCGTGAAACTGTAGTCTTTCACGTAAACCTCCTCTTGCTTTTTTATAGGCAACAGATATGTCAGACAGCTGTGTGTGAAAGGTAACCATTACGATCCGAGTAACAATGACAGTCTTGCCGAGATGCTAGCATCTAATAACACATTAACTGACCTGAACCTTGGTACTTGTGATCTCAGAGGTAAATGAGTAGAAGACACAATCTGAGGATCATTGTAAATATTTCACTCAGGTGTCTCCAGAAAATCTAAACCCTTTAAAGCCCATCGTCAAATGTCAATCACGGATTGCAAAATATTTTAAGTCCACAGAGCTGCAAGACAAAGGCCTACAAGGGCAACCTCTGTACACATTACGTGCCTACAATTCTAGGAATGTTCTCATCCTCACGCTAAATTACTATTAATGTTAGGAATGTGATTTTGTTTTTGTGAGGTAGCACTCTGGTGTTACATTTCTTATATTTAGAATCTTGCTATCTTGATTTCACTCGCTTATCTCTAGCTTTCCACTATCTAGAACTGATTCATTGTAATTTTCCCTTGGATGTACTTTTTTCAGGTACTTGCTATCTGCTATATCGAGTTGCCAACATATGCATGTTAAACTATTTTTCTTTTCCCTTAAAAGTTTGAGTTAGCAGGGTACAACTCTATAATTTAACTAAGTATCTTTTGGTCACAAATTTGTACACAGTTTCCAATTAACCAAACGCAAAACCTCTTAACTTAATAAGCAGGTACCCCTTCAGGTTAATTTCACTGACAGAAGTTTCATTATCCCATGGCAGGTTTAAGTGAAAAGATGATTAGCGCATTATGTGTTAATAACACTCTGACTAGTTTGAAGTTGGCACGAAATGGATTGCGTAAGGTTGATTTTTGTTTTCAAATAGAACATTATTTCATAATTTGTAACAAAATAACAGAGCACTGCACTGAAAAAGAAACTACCAACGTTCACGATTCAATTACAGTTTTATTTTAAGGAAGATTAATTTTTAGTTCTTTGTGGGCATAAATGTTGTAAATAGCTGCAGTCTTCCACTATAGCTAAATTATATGAACCCATTAATCAATTGATGTAGTGAAACACAAATTCTATAGTACCAAATCAGTTAGCTCAGAGCAAATGTGACACACAGAGTCTAGGTATCATGTCTTCATGTTTTCTGTCAAAATGTAGCTTACTGCTCGCAGCAAGAAAAAGGCTGCAAGATTTTAACATGTCAAGTCAGACTGAACTGATGAGACAGTTGCAAGAGTTATCAAACATTGATGAAATTTAAACATTTTCAAGTAGCAACAGTATTGTGGACATCACTGTTGAGGGTACAACTGTGAAGCCCAGAAAACTGAATATTATTCTGGTTTGTTTTTCAAGGTGATGCAGATATTTCTGCTCTGTCTCAAGTTTTCTCTCATCCAAGTCAGCTCTCAAAATTGGCAAAGTTAGACCTGAGGTAGGTTTTTAAAAATTAACATAGATTTTTACGATTTTATTTGTTTTCTCCTTAGTTTTAGTTTTGATTGAGAAGATATATCCACATTTCAGAGCATCTCAGAGTTCATCAAAAATACTCTGCTGTTCGTCATATTTTCAACTCTCTTCTCAGTATTTGGAAATGTGGTCAAACATGGTCTTTTGTGTTGGATGTGTTACATGAAAACTGCTCTTACCACAGTGGAATGTGGTGAACACAGACACTAATGGAACACAAAATAGATTCATCACATTTTTCCCTCTCTCTTAATATCTGACTTGTATTGAGTCATTCTTTTTATTTCTTAGCTTCAACCACATTTCACCAGAATCACTGTCAGTTTTAGGCTCATCACTCCAAAGCATCAGACCAAGAAAGCTTGATGAACTTAAGCTGACAAAAAGAAGTCTTCTCAGTCCAGGATTCCAGCAAGTTATATTGAGTCTCCAGTCAGTGGTACGGCATGTGACAGCTGAGTACTTGGACCAAGCCACTTTATTTGCAGATTTCATCAGTCAAATGTGACTGAAGGAGCCAGATCGTGGCTGCCAGTCTGATTAAAACTTAAATAATTCATTTTTAATGACTCCTTTGGAAAATTCTGGAACTGTCAACAGTTCACCATTTACAAACTTTATAACAGACTGTACATGAGTCTTGCAGGCAAAAACATAACAACAAAACTGGCCAACCAGTTTCAGCAGTCAATTCTGTGGTTTTTGTTATTGTTATTGTTTTTTGTTTTTTTCTCACAGTAGATTGACAAAGAGTTTCACTTAATTCTCAAGGTGACTTCCATCAGTCACCAACAACAATAAATTATTCTATTCTATCCCTACCCAGATATTCACATACATACTGTTGAGTGACACTTCAGGATTGAAACAAATATTACTACATGTAGGTTAGAGTGCTTTTAATGTCCTACAAAGCTACATTAAATAAGAAATCTTCCATATCTTCTCCCAGTTCACAAAACAAATCAATTTTCTCCTGTTGATTCTTCACATGATTTATCTTATTGTTCACAGAAAGTTCTATCTTCTTATCATCATCACTCATTGGTTTGTCTTTTTCCATAACATAGAAAAAGAAGTGAAAAGAATCACCAAATGTTTGAACAGAAATCGACCAATTATATTGTGACTTTGCAAGAAAAGGCTTTCTAAAATGAGGCTGTGAAAATGTCACTGAAATGAAATGTCCTCCCTCCTTCAAAATTTTGGAAACCTGTACAATGAAGGAAAACAAACATCAGTTCTTTTACTAGACTACCATTACACAGAAAAGGTCCATGTAAACTCTCTCAGAGTGAACCAGATATATCTGTATAAGAATGCCAAAACACAGTCAAAGCACTCTTGAGTACAGCATATTGTGCTTCTCGTCCATGGCTCTCTGGGATTAGAATGTTCACAGCCCTCTATTTTCTCGTATTTTTATTCAATAATTGGTTGCACTGATAGAATCACGAGAGAACTGGATGCTTGTGCAAAACAGGAGATTTGACAGGGTAGGGGTGGGAAGTGAGAAAAATAATCTTTGTTTGGCTCACTTCACCCCCACCCCCTTCCTTGTGCATCAAGCTCTCTTCACGTGCTTTTTCTTTCGCTTTTGCTTTGAGAAATAGAGTGCTTGTGAACAGTTCAGGTGGTATGGAAATTCATAGTACTGTACTACAAATACATTGTACAGTGTAGGTGTAAAAATCATTTTTCTAGGGCATAATCACCAACAGAAGTATCAGAAGAAGTCACCTGAATGTAGCAAATACAAAAATCAACATTCCTCCCCCTCCCAAAGCATACCCCAAGCATGTGCC